AAATCTAGAAATCACTGAGTGGCTCAGTCATGCAGAAACAAAGACATCTGTGAGCTTCGATGCTCAAACATGTTGGGCATGCATAGCTGTCACACATTAATACCATATAAAACTGCATATAAATTATTTAAAAATAAAACTAGCTAAATCTATTGCATTGTTTTACAAAGTAAGGGACTTGTTTAATGATAAAGCTCTGTATATGTTATATAACACATTAATTGTTCCATACTTATTGTGTTGAGGTATGGGGTAAAGCATGTAAGACAATTACACATCCTGTTTTTGTTTTGCAGAGAAGAGCTATAAGAATTATTACTCGAATACATAACCATTATCCATCCAATATATTATTTTGTAAACTGAAATTATTGAAATTTTAACTTTTTGTTAGTTATGTATAAGGCTCAATAAAATACATTACCTTTAAACATCCAGAAAAACATTGCAAAAAGAGAGAGTTGTTATAATCTTAAAGTGTAACTTACCCCCCCTGTGAAAAGATAACTCCGCCCCAAGGCGAAATTTGAAAAATGCATCAAAGTGGGTAGGGGAGGGGGTGTGGGTAGAGGAAGGCGGGTTAGAGAGCGGAGGTGTGGCCAGGACGAGAGAACGTGACAGGCAGCTAGCATTAGCATAATTGATGCTACATGGAGAGTGACCACAGCGACGCAGATAAGTTACATCTCTGAACGTCTGAGGTGGAGGATTTTTCACGCCCCTCCTCACCAGAGGCAGAGAGAGTAATTTTATTGCAGTGATTAATTTTACCTATAGACAATGTTACATTCAAATCACATCATGGATCACATATTGATCAGATGCTGCTCCTGTCTGATCCATGATGTGATGTAAATGTAACATTTTCTATAGGTAAAGTTAATCACTGCAATAAAACTATTGTCTGTTTTTTCAGCTGGTGAAAATGCAATGAAGTCGAGTTTCACCAGTTTCCGTCTACTTTTGAAACCTGTGCACCTTCACCTAGTGGTGGGATGCTGTCATTTTGCAGGTAAAATAATCGACACATTATGGAAGACGTAGTTTAAAGCAGCATACGTCTATTTTAAGACATTAATACATCTTTGAAGTACTTGTGTGCCACATGAAATGCAGTGTGAGCCACGTTTGACCTCAAGGTTGATACGTGTGATGTAAACTGAAGTAAGACCATACAAAATGATATACGCCAATCCTTAATAAACAGAAAACATAAGAAACCAAAAGACATAGAAACATAAAACAATAACAAACACACAAGGATCCTGACACATTTCTACTTAGCAAAACACATTAAAGAGCTGTGCAGCACTATAGCCATGTTTCCAACCAATTTTATTTTACTGAGATTATTTTACTGAGAGATTACAACAGAAAAAATGGCTGCATTCTCTGCAAACACGAAGCAGAACCTCCAGCTGTTTGAAGCTCAACATCATCCAGCCCACTGCTGCATCAACAATACAATATAGTCTGCTGTCATCAGACTTTGAATTTCAAAACTGAAATGCTAAAAGCAAGACTGAGTATCAAAGAAACAATGAAGCCGATGAATCTCAGAGATGGAGATTATTGGTCACAAGTTGAAAACTATAACAGATAAAATGACATCTTTACCGTATCTTTCTGCACAGTAGCTTGCTTTTATTTTCATTTTTATCTAATTTCACATTGATAGTCCAGTACAGTAATTATTATTCCTATTTTTATTTTTGATCTATGTTTAATTCTTTTTGTTAGTATCTTTAACTCTATTATTATTGCTACAATTGATAGTGTCACATTGCAATATACTGTTTTTGTGGATTGATGTATGTATCTGCTGCTGCTGCTAAACCTGAAGTTCCCCACGTGTGACAATAAAGGCTGTTTTTACTCTATTCTATTCTAATGAGATTTTGAGCAAACTTTTAAGATGTCACAAAACAAAAAAAATGCGAATCAGGCATGTTTCCGTCTACTGGCTTGGAGCGTATCAACCAGGCTACGCAAAATGTAATTATGTCAGACGTTGACCTTACACGTGGCTGTAGTGAACAGGAAGTAGAGGTCGCAAACTAGCAGGAAACACACATCTCAGGACAATGGAGAGAAGTTATAAGGAATGTGTTATAAGTTATAAGGCAAGTTGTTATTATTTTGTCATATCAACTAGTATTTGCCATGTCACATGAAGTCCAGATGCGTAGAGAAAGAAATACAATTCCATTCATGCTATGGGAATATACGGGAACACCCAGACAGAGGGAGAAGGGTCTGCACTGACTGGACTCATTCATGGACTGGACTTGTTCTAGATCCAGCTGGGTCAGTACAATTATTGAATAGCAAGAACAGCTGATCAATCATGTGAGATAAATGTTTGCAACATCAGAAGTTAATCAGCAAATGTGTTTCCTTCTCTCCTTTTGCACATCAACTCTTTATTGGAAAATAGAAAAACCACCTCAAGCGAGCGTAAAAACTTTTTGCAAAATTGAGGAAGTTTTCAAATTTTGGCAATTCCATCCCCCTTTTAATGTGTTTAAAAAATGTAGATGGAAACACGGCTAGTGATGATTGTGCTCCAACCTGTGTGGACCAGCAGAGCGTAGATGATTTTTGACTGTATCCTGAGAAACACAGTCACAGAACAAACTGAAGCTCTGAGGTACTGTCAGACACCCTCTCTTCTTCTTCACCATCTGCTTCAAACTACTTAAAGTGATAATGAGTTGGTTTAATAAATAATTTGCATATAAAAGCTGAGCCGCCTGTGTGGGAGGCAAAAACAGATCCAAGATCAGAGTCTGGCTGCTGGCAACGCCTCAGAGAAAACAGAAAATAACAAACAGAGAAGAGGAGACGAGAGGGAGGACGAGACAAACAGAGAAACCGAAAGACGCTAAAAAATAAAATACAAACACACCGAGTCCAGTCAGAGTAGACCAAGTCCAGTCCATGTTTGAGTCTAGTCAGGGTACACCAGGTCCAGTCCATGTATGAGTCCAGTCAAAGTAGACAAAGTCCAGTCCATGTTTGAGTCCAGTCATTATAGACCAAGTCCAGTCCAAGTTTGAGTCCAGTCAGTGACCAAGTCCAGTCCACGTTTAGGTCCAGTCAGTGTAGACCAAGTCCAGTCCATGTTTGAGTCCAGTCAGTGTAGACAAGGTCCAGTCCATGTATGAGTTCAGTCAGGGTTGACCAGGTCAAGTCCAAATTTGAGTTCAGTCAGTGTAGACAAAGTCCAGTCCTTGTTTGAGTTCAGTCAGTTTAGACCAGGTCCAGTCCATGTTTGAGTCCAGTCAGTGTAGACCAGGTCAAGTCCTTGTTTGAGTTCAGTCAGTGTAGACAAAGTCCAGTCCATGTTTGAGTCCAGTCAGTGTAGACCAGGTCAAGTCCTTGTTTGAGTTCAGTCAGTGTAG